GGGGCGGGGTGATGGAAAGCGGGTTAATGGGGCGGGGTGATGGAAAGCGGGAGAATGGGGCGGGGTGCTGGAAAGTGTTATAGTCACAATAGGCTTGAATGTGCCTAAAACGAAAGATAGAGAGCACAGACGGATTTCTGCACAGCGGCTTCAAACGTTGATAGCGTTCTGCTCACAGCTGCAAATGACTTGATTCAAATTGGATCTGGAGCGTCTTCACGGCGTCTACAATTATCAATTTAGATTGCACGATTTGATAAAGAATTGACGACACAGCGTCGGTTTGAACGAACGGTACTATGGCAGCCACTATAGTCTTAGAACACAAGATAGGAAGAGTTACGAGTTGGGAATGACTCCCAGCTCCTACAAACCCCAAGAGCCGAGGTACAGTGATGTGGAACAGTGCCACACTGTCCCCAACCACGAAGGGTCTCGAAACTACCCTTCACTAGGGCCTACACCAAGTGAAATGTTACACTACACAAAGTAATGTAACTATCTTCAATATCTTGAGGTGTACCCTTTTGGCGAGCTTCGAAATCACTTGAGGCTTGACACCAAGGCTCGGGCTCTTCATCACAAACTCATCCTTGAGTTCTTGATGGGTCTGCTGCACACACCTGCGACACGCCGAACGTTCGACACAGGACAAAATAGAAACCGCGCACGACAAAATAGAAACCGCGCGCGAGACACAAACGACCGCGTAACACGCGTCTAGCGATAACTCGCTATTGACTCGACACACACACTCGACATCATGACTCAACATTCACACACAATTATAAGCATGAAATATACATTATCCCATGCCCTCATACCATTCCATACACACATACGTTCACGCACACGGACAACAAGCCGAGTGCAAACCGTAGGGTTGCACCAACAAACTCCCCCTCGGATTGTTGGCCTTAGGATATGTTGCTCTCTCAGTTCAGAGCCATCCCAGCCAGCTTGCAACACTTCCAATGCTGCTGCTCCACCAGCCTCTTGGTCATCATGTCAGCCGGCTGCCCCGTGGTCTTCACGTAGCGCAACTCAACTTCACCCGCGGTTACCATGCTCCTCGTCCAATGCCACTTCACCCTCATGTGCTTCGTGAGTCCATGCAACACAGGGTTCTTAGCAAGAGCAATGGCACCCTGGCTGTCACAGTACAGTGGGGTAGGTCCTTGCTGCTCCTCCCCCAATTCAGCCAACAAACGCCGCTGCCACACAATCTCCCGTACGGCACGGAAGAGTGCCATGTACTCGGACTCCACCGAGCTCAAAGCTTGGTCAACCTGCTTCTTGCTCTCCCAAGCAGTTAGGCCTCCACCAACACAGCATATGAAGCCTCCCACACTTGTCATGTCCTCTGGTTCTGATGCATATGAAGCATCCGAGTAGGCGGTGAGGAACAAACGCCCAGATTCAACACCATCCGCGCCCTTTTGGCGCCTTTGTGCCGCCGCCGAGTATTGCAGCCCAACGGTCGGTGTTTGGCCAAGATACTTGGCCACCCTCATTCCAGCTGCTACCTGCTCCTCATTAGGGCATTGCACAACCCTAGCCAGCTTCCCGGTAGCAAACGCGACGTCCGGTCGGGTGTTTACCGCCGCATGCATGAGGCTGCCCACCAACGAGTGAAATCGGCGCCTCTCCTCTTCACCAACGCTCTCCTCCTCTGGTCCCTTCACACACTTGAACCCAGAGGGAAAGGGTGTAGCCACATGGCCTTCACTCTGCCCAAAGTTGGCAGCCAATGCCTCCAGGTACTTTCGTTGATGCACCCGCATGCACCGCTTCTCCACATCTCGTTTGATGTGGAGCCCAAGGTAGAAGCTCACGTCACCAAGGGCCTTGCACTTGAACTTGTCTTGAAGCTTCAGCATCACCTCCTTCACAAGGTCAGAAGAGGGTGAGAAAATGAGGATGTCATCCACATAAACCACCATGAAACTCCTCTGCTCCCCCTCGCCAAGCATGAACAAGGAGTGATCGGCCGTTGAGGGAGTGAAGCCGATCCCCTCCAACACTTCGCGCAGCTTCATGTACCATTGCCTAGGGGCCTGCTTCAGCCCATAGAGGGCCTTCTTCAGCTTCCACACTCTGCCACTACCATCATCAAACCCCTCTGGCTGCGCCATAAAAATCTCCTCCTCAAGGATGCCGTTAAGGAATGCCGTTACGATGTCCATTTGCTTTACTACCCATCCTTTGATGGCGGCTCCCGCGAATAGGGTTCGCAGCGTCGTCGGCTTCACCACAGGGGCAAACAGCTCCTTGAAGTCCACCTTCTCCTTCTGCTGGTACCCCTTGGCTACAAGCCTAGACTTGTAGCGCTCGATCTTGCCGTCGGCATCCGACTTGATTTTGAAGAGCCACTTGGACGTTATCGCCGTACGCCCCTCCGGTAGCTCCACCAATTCAAACGTGTCATTCTCCTCGATGCTCTTCAGCTCACTCTCCATGGCCTTCTTCCACTCCTCAGCATCACTACTCTCCAAAGCCTCCTTGAGAGTTGCTGGTTCTCCCGGCATCTCCACCGGAGAGAAGAACGCGAAGGCACACTCCTCGTAGTCACTCTCCTCGTCGTCTCCGACCATCATTGCCGCTCCGGCCAGGGCTGTCTTGCCCTGCTTTCCCTGCGCATCATAGGTCAGCCTATTAGGGGGTTGAACTCTCCTCTTCCCCCTTCCTTCCTCCTCAGCTGCAGGGACTTGAAGGCCTTGGCGTTGCTGCGGTGTGGCTCGAATCCGTGGAGCACTCGTAGTACGGGAAGGAAGTGACGGTGCACGCTCGCTCACTTGCTGCACCTCCTCCTCTTCTTCCTCTGCATCATTGGCCTCCTCTCCCCCATTCACTTGGGTGTATGGAAAGCGGGAGATTGGGGCGGGGTGATGGAAAGCTGGAGAATCGGGCGGGGTGATGGAAAGCGGGAGATTGGGGCGGGGTGATGGAAAGCTGGAGAATTGGGCGGGGTGATGGAAAGCGGGAGAATAGAGCGGGGTGCTGGAAAGCGGGAGAATGGGGCGGGGTGAAGGATAGTGGGAGAATTGGGCGGGGTGCTGGAAAGCGGGAGAATGGGGCGGGGTGCTGGAAAGCGGGAGAATGGGGCGGGGTGATGGAAAGCGGGTTAATGGGGCGGGGTGATGGAAAGCGGGAGAATGGGGCGGGGTGCTGGAAAGCGGTAGAATGGGGCGGGGTTATGGAAGCAGGAGAATGGGGCGGGGTGATGGAAAGAGGGAGAATGGGGCGGGGTGATGGAAAGAGGGAGAATGGGGCGGGGTGATAGAAAGCGTGAGAATGGGGCGGGGTGATGGAAAGCGGGAGAATGGGGCGGGTGATAGAAAGCGGTAGAATGGGGCGGGGTGATGGAAAGAGGAAGAATGTGGCGGGGTGATGGAAAACGGGAGGATGGGGCGATGGAAAGCGGGAGAATCGGGTTGGGTGATGGAAAGCGGGAGAATGAGGCGGGGTGCTGGAAAGCGGGAGAATGGGGCGGGGTGCTGGAAAGCGGGAGAATGGGGCGGGGTGCTGGAAAGCGGGAGATTGGGGCGGGGTGATGGAAAGAGGGAGAATGGAGTGGGGTGATGGAAAGCGGGAGATTGGGGCGGGGTGATGGAAAGCTGGAGAATCGGGCGGGGTGATGGGAAGAGGGAGAATGGGGTGGGGTGATGGAAAGAAGGAGAATAGGGCGGGGTGATGGAAAGCAGGAGAATGGGGCGGGGTGATGGAAAGAGGGAGAATGGGGCGGGCTGATGGAAAGCGGGAGAATGGGGCGGGATGATGAAAAGCGGGAGAATGGGGAAGGTGATGGAAAGCAGGCGAATGGGGCGGGGTGATGGAAAGAGGGAGAATGGGGCGGGGTTATAGAAAGCGGGAGGATGGGGCGGGGTGATGGAAAGCGGGAGAATGGGGCGGGGTGATGGAAAGAGGGAGATGGTGGCGGGGTGATGCAAAGCGGGAGAATGGGGCGGGGTGATGGAGAGCAGGAGAATGAGGCGGGTGATGGAAAGCGGGAGAATGCGGCGGGGTGATGGAAAGCGGGAGAATCGGGCGGGGTGATGGAAAGCGGGAGAATGAGGCGGGGTGTTGGAAAGTGGGAGAATGGGGCGGGGTGATGGAAAGCGGGAGAATGGGGTAGGGTGATGGAAAGCGGGAGAATGGGGCGGGTGGTGGAAAGCAAGAGAATGGGGAAGGGTGATGGAAAGCGGGAGAATGGGGCGGGGTGATGGGTAGAGGGAGAGTGGGGCGGGGTGATGGAAAGCGGGATAATCGGGCCGGGTGATGGAAAGCGGGAGAATGGGGCGGGGTGCGGAAAGCGGGAGAATGGGGAGGGGTGATGGAAAGCGGGAGAATGGGGCAGGGTGATGGAAAGAGGAAGAATAGGGGTGGGTTGATGGAAAGCGGGAGAATGGGGCGGGGTGATGAGAAGAGGGAGAATGGGGCGGGGTGATGGAAAGCGGGAGAATGGGGCGGGGTGATGGAAAGCGGGAGAATGGGGCGGGGTGATGGAAAGCGGGAGAATGGGGAGGGGTGATGGAAAGCGGGAGAATGGGGCGGGGTGATGAGAAGAGGGAGAATGGGGCGGGGTGATGGAAAGCGGGAGAATGGGGAGGGGTGATGGAAAGCGGGAGAATGGGGCGGGGTGATGGAAAGCGGGAGAATGGGGCGGGGTGCGGAAAGCGGGAGAATGGGGAGGGGTGATGGAAAGCGGGAGAATGGGGCAGGGTGATGGAAACCGGGAGAATGGGGCGCGTGATGGAAAGCGGGAGAATGGGGCAGGGTGATGGAAAGAGGGAGAATGGGGCGGGGTGATGGAAAGAGGGAGAATGGGGCGGGGTGATGGAAAGAGGGAGAATGGGGCGGGGCGATGGAGAGCGGGAGAATAGGGCGGGGTGATCGAGAGCGGGAGAATGGGGCGGGTGATGGAAAGCGGGAGAATGGGGCGGGTGATGGAAAGCGGGAGAATGGGGCGGGGTGATGGAAAGCGGGAGAATGGGGCGGGGTTATGGAAAGAGGGAGAATGGGGCGGGGTGATGGAAAGCGGGAGAATGGGGCGGGGTGATGGAAAGCGGGAGAATGGGGCGGGGTGATGGAAAGCGGGAGAATGGGGCGGGGTGATGGAAAGCGGGAGAATGGGGCGGGGTGGTGGAAAGAGGGAGAATGGGGCGGGGTGATGGAAAGCGGGAGAATGGGGCGGGGTGATGGAAAGCGGGAGAATGGGGCGGGGTTATGGAAAGAGGGAGAATGGGGCGGGGTGATGGAAAGAGGGAGAATGGGGCGGGGTGATGGAAAGAGGGAGAATGGAGCGGGGTGATGGAAAGCGGGAGATTGGGGCGGGGTGATGGAAAGCTGGAGAATCGGGCGGGGTGATGGAAAGAGGGAGAATGGGGTGGGGTGATGGAAAGAGGGAGAATGGGGCAGGGTGATAGAAAGAAGGAGTATGGGGCGGGGTGATGGAAAGAGGGAGAATGGGGCGGGCTGATGGAAAGGGGGAGAATGGGGCGGGGTGATGGAAAGCGGGAGAATGGGGAAGGTGATGGAAAGCAGGAGAATGGGGCGGGGTGATGGAAAGAGGGAGAATGGGGCGGGGTGATGGAAAGCGGGAGGATGGGGCGGGGTGATGGAAAGCGGGAGAATGGGGCGGGGTGATGGAAAGCGGAAGAATCGGGCGGGGTGATGGAAAGCGGGAGAATGGGGTGGGGTGCTGGAAAGTGGGAGAATGGGGCGGGGTGCTGGAAAGCGGGAGAATGGTTCAGGGTGATGGAAAGCGGGAGAATGGGGCGGGGTGCTGGAAAGAGGGAGAATGGGGCGGGGTGATGGAAAGAGGGAGAATGGAGCGGGGTGATGGAAAGCTGGAGATTGGGGCGGGGTGATGGAAAGCGGGAAAATCGGGCGGGGTGATGGAAAGCAGGAGAATGGGGCGGGTGCTGGAAAGCGGGAGAATGGGGCGGGGTGATGGAAAGCGGGAGACTGGGGCGGGTGGCTGGAAAGCGGGAGAATGGGGCGGGGTGATGGAAAGCGGGAGAATGGGGCGGGGTGATGGAAAGCGGGAGAAAGGGGCGGGGTGCTGGAAAGCGGGAGAATGGGGCGGGGTTATGCAAAGCGGGAGAATGGGGCAGGGTGATGTAAAGAGGGAGAATGGGGCGGGGTGATCGAAAGAGGGAGAATGGGGCGGGGTTATGGAAAGAGGGAGAATGGGGCGGGGTGATGGAAAGTGGGAGAATGGGGAGGGGTGATGGAAAGAGGGAGAATGGGGCGGGGTGATGGAAAGCGGGAGAATGGGGCGGGGAGATGGAAAGAGGGAGAATGGGGCGGGGTGATAGAAAGAGGGAGAATGGGGCGGGGTGATGGAAAGAGGGAGAATGGGGCGGGGTGATGGAAAGCGGGAGAATGGGGCGGGGTGATGGAAAGCGGGAGAATGGGGCGGGTGCTGGAAAGCAGGAGAATGGGGCGGGGTGATGGAAAGAGGGAGGATGGGGCGGGGTGATCGGAAGCAGGAGGATGGGGCGGGGTGATGGAAAGCAGGAGAATGGGGCGGGGTGATGCAAAGCGGAAGAATCAGGCGGGGTGATGAAAAGCGGGAGAATGGGGTGTTGTGCTGGAAAGCGGGAGAATGGGGCGGGGTGCTGGAAAGCGGAAATGGGGCAGGGTGATGGAAAGCAGGAGAATGGGGTGGGGTGCTGGAAAAAGGGAGAATGGGGCGGGGTGATGGAAAGAGGGAGAATGGGGTGGGATGATGGAAAGCGGGAGAATGGGGCGGGTGATGGAAAGCGGTAGAATGGGGCAGGGTGATGGAAAGAGGGAGAATGGGGCGGGGTGATGGAAAACGAGAGGATGGGGCGGGGTGATGGAAAGCGGGAGAATAGGGCTGGGTGACGGAAAGCGGGAGAATGAGGCGGGGTGCTGGAAAGCGGGAGAATGGGGCGGGTTGCTGGAAATCGGGAGAATGGGGCGGGGTGCTCGAAAGCGGGAGAATGGGACGGGGTGCTGGAAAGAGGGAGAATGGGGCGGGGTGATGGAAAGAGGGAGAATGGAGCGGGGTGATGGAAAGCGGGAGATTGGGGCGGGGTGATGGAAAGCGGGAGAATCGGGCGGGGTGATGGAAAGAGTGAGAATGGGGTGGGGTGATGGAAAGAGGGAGAATAGGGGGGGTGATGGAAAGCAGGAGAATGGGGCGGGGTGATGGAACGCAGGAGAATAGGGCGGGGTGATGGAAAGCGAGAGAATGGGGCGGGGTGATGGAAGGAGGGAGAATGGGGCGGGGTGATGGAAAGCGGGAGAATGGGGCGGGGTGATGGAAAGCGGTAGAATGGGGCGGGGTGATGGAAAGCGGGAGAATGGGGCGGGTTGATGGAAAGCGGGAGAATGGGGCGGGGTGATGGAAGGAGGGAGAATGGGGCGGGGTGATGGAAGGAGGGAGAATGGGGCGGGGTGACGGAAAGCAGGAGAATGGGGCGGGGTGATGGAAAGCGGAAGAATGGGGCGGGGTGATGGAAAACGGGAGAATGGGGCAGGGTGATGGAAAGCGGGAGAATGGGGCGAGGTGATGGAAAGCGGGAGAATGGGGCGGGGTGATGGAAAGCGGGAGAATGGGGCGGGGTGATGGAAAGCGGGAGAATGGGGCGGGGTGATGGAAGGAGGGAGAATGGGGCGGGGTGATGGAAAGCGGGAGAATGGGGCGGGGTGATGGAAAGCGGGAGAATGGGGCGGGGTGATGGAAAGCGGGAGAATGGGGCGGGGTGATGGAAAGCGGGAGAATGGGGCGGGGTGATGGAAAGCGGGAGAATGGGGCGGGGTGATGGAAAGCGGGAGAATGGGGCGGGGTGATGGATGGCGGGAGAATGGGGCGGGGTAATGGAAGGAGGGAGAATGGGGCGGGATGATGGAAAGCGGAAGATGGGGCGAGGTGATGGAAAGAGGGAGAATGGGAGCGGGGTGATGGAAAGCGGGAGAATGGGGCGTGGTGATGGAAAGAGGGAGAATGGGGTGGGGGATGGAAAGCGGGAGAATGGGGCGGGGTGATGGAAGGAGGGAGAATGGGGCGGGGTGATGGAAGGCGGTAGATTGGGGCGGGGTGATGGAAAGCGGTAGAATGGGGCGGGGTGATGGAAGGAGGGAGAATGGGGCGGGGTGATGGAAAGCGGGAGAATGGGGCGGGGTGATGGAAAGCGGGAGAATCGGGCGGGTGATGGAATGCGGGAGAATGGGGCGGGGTGATGGAAAGCGGGAGAATGGGGCGGGGTGATGGAAGGAGGGAGAATGGGGCGGGGTGATGGAATGAGGGAGAATGGGGCGGGGTGATGGAAAGTGGGAGAATGGGGCGGGGTGATGGAAAGCGGGAGAATGGGGCGGGGTGATGGAAAGCGGGAGAATGGGGCGGGGTGATGGAAAGCGGGAGAATGGGCCAGGGTGATGGAAAGCGGGAGAATGGGGCGGGGTGATGGAAAGCGGGAGAATGGGGCGGGGTGATGGAAAGCGGGAGAATGGGGCGGGGTGATGGAAGGCGGGAGAATGGGACGGGGTGATGGAAGGAGGGAGAATGGGGCGTTGTGATGGAAGGAGGGAGAATGGGGCGGGATGATGGAAAGCGGAAGATTGGGGCGAGGTGATGGAAAGAGGGAGAATGGAAGCGGGGTGATGGAAAGCGGGAGAATGGGGCGGGGTGATGGAAAGAGGGAGAATGGGGTGGGGTAATGGAAAGCGGGAGAATGGGAGCGGGGTGATGGAAAGCGGGAGCATGGGGCGGGGTGATGGAAAGAGGGAGAATGGGGTGGGGTGATGGAAAGCGGGAGAATGGGGCGGGGTGATGGAAGGAGGGAAAATGGGGCGGGGTGATGGAAGGCGGTAGATTGGGGCGGGGTGATGGAAAGCGGTAGAATGGGGCAGGGTGATGGAAGGAGGGAGAATGGGGCGGGGTGATGGAAAGCGGGAGAATGGGGCGGGGTGATGGAAAGCGGGAGAATCGGGCGGGTGATGGAAAGCGGGAGAATGGGGCGGGGTGATGGAAAGCGGAAGAATGGGGCAGGGTGATGGAAAGCGGGAGAATGGGGAGGGGTGATGGAAGGAGGGAGAATGGGGCGGAGTGATGGAAGAAGGGAGAATGGGGCGGGGTGATGGAAAGCGGGAGAATGGGGCGGGGTGTTGGAAAGCGGGAGAATGGGGCGGGGTGATGGAAGGAGGGAGAATGGGGCGGGGTGATGGAATGCGGGAGAATGGGGCGGGGTGATGGAAAGCGGGAGAATGGGGAGGGGTGATGGAAAGCGGGAGAATGGGGCGGGGTGATGGAAAGCGGGAGAATGGGGCGGGGTTATGGAAAGAGGGAGAATGGGGCGGGGTGATGGAAAGAGGGAGAATGGAGCGGGGTGATGGAAAGCGGGAGATTGGGGCGGGGTGATGGAAAGCTGGAGAATAGGGCGGGGTGATGGAAAGCGGGAGAATGGGGCGGGGTGAAGGATAGTGGGAGAATGGGGCGGGGTGCTGGAAAGCGGGAGAATGGGGCGGGGTGCTGGAAAGCGGGAGAATGGGGCGGGGTGATGGAAAGCGGGTTAATGGGGCGGGGTGATGGAAAGCGGGAGAATGGGGCGGGGTGCTGGAAAGCGGTAGAATGGGGCGGGGTTATGGAAGCAGGAGAATGGGGCGGGGTGATGGAAAGAGGGAGAATGGGGCGGGGTGATGGAAAGAGGGAGAATGGGGCGGGGTGATAGAAAGCGTGAGAATGGGGCGGGGTGATGGAAAGCGGGAGAATGGGGCGGGTGATAGAAAGCGGTAGAATGGGGCGGGATGATGGAAAGAGGGAGAATGTGGCGGGGTGATGGAAAACGGGAGGATGGGGCGGGGTGATGGAAAGCGGGAGAATCGGGTTGGGTGATGGAAAGCGGGAGAATGAGGCGGGGTGCTGGAAAGCGGGAGAATGGGGCGGGGTGCTGGAAAGCGGGAGAATGGGGCGGGGTGCTGGAAAGCGGGAGAATGGGGCGGGGTACTTGAAAGAGGAGAATGGGGCGGGGTGATGGAAAGAGGGAGAATGGAGCGGGGTGATGGAAAGCGGGAGATTGGGGCGGGGTGATGGAAAGCTGGAGAATCGGGCGGGGTGATGGAAAGAGGGAGAATGGGGTGGGGTGATGGAAAGAGGGAGAATAGGGCGGGGTGATGGAAAGCAGGAGAATGGGGCGGGGTGATGGAAAGAGGGAGAATGGGGCGGGCTGATGGAAAGCGGGAGAATGGGGCGGGATGATGAAAAGCGGGAGAATGGGGAAGGTGATGGAAAGCAGGCGAATGGGGCGGGGTGATGGAAAGAGGGAGAATGGGGCGGGGTGATAGAAAGCGGGAGGATGGGGCGGGGTGATGGAAAGCGGGAGAATGGGGCGGGGTGATGGAAAGAAAGAGATGGTGGCGGGGTGATGGAAAGCGGGAGAATGGGGCGGGGTGATGGAGAGCAGGAGAATGAGGTGGGTGATGGAAAGCGGGAGAATGCGGCGGGGTGATGGAAAGCGGGAGAATCGGGCGGGGTGATGGAAAGCGGGAGAATGAGGCGGGGTGTTGGAAAGTGGGAGAATGGGGCGGGGTGATGGAAAGCGGGAGAATGGGGCAGGGTGATGGAAAGCGGGAGAATGGGGCGGGTGGTGGAAAGCGGGAGAATCGGGCGGGGTGATAGAAAGCGGGAGAATCGGGCGGGGTGATGGAAAGCGGGAGAATGAGGCGGGGTGTTGGAAAGTGGGAGAATGGGCCGGGGTGATGGAAAGCGGGAGAATGGGGAAGGGTGATGGAAAGCGGGAGAATGGGGCGGGGTGATGGGTAGAGGGAGAGTGGGGCGGGGTGATGGAAAGCGGGATAATCGGGCCGGGTGATGGAAAGAGGAAGAATAGGGGTGGGTTGATGGAAAGAGGGAGAATGGGGCGGGATGATGGGAAGAGGGAGAATGGGGCGGGGTGATGGAAAGCGGGAGAATGGGGCGGGGTGATGGAAAGCGGGAGAATGGGGCGGGGTGATGGAAAGCGGGAGAATGGGGAGGGGTGATGGAAAGCGGGAGAATGGGGCGGGGTGATGAGAAGAGGGAGAATGGGGCGGGGTGATGGAAAGAGGGAGAATGGCGCGGGGTGATGGAAAGCGGGAGAATGGGGCGGGGTGCGGAAAGCGGGAGAATGGGGAGGGGTGATGGAAAGCGGGAGAATGGGGCAGGGTGATGGAAAGAGGAAGAATAGGGGTGGGTTGATTGAAAGAGGGAGAATGGGGCGGGATGATGGGAAGAGGGAGAATGGGGCGGGGTGATGGAAAGCGGGAGAATGGGGCGGGGTGATGGAAAGCGGGAGAATGGGGCGGGGTGATGGAAAGCGGGAGAATGGGGAGGGGTGATGGAAAGCGGGAGAATGGGGCGGGGTGATGAGAAGAGGGAGAATGGGGCGGGGTGATGGAAAGAGGGAGAATGGCGCGGGGTGATGGAAAGCGGGAGAATGGGGCGGGGTGCGGAAAGCGGGAGAATGGGGAGGGGTGATGGAAAGCGGGAGAATGGGGCAGGGTGATGGAAACCGGGAGAATGGGGCGCGTGATGGAAAGCGGGAGAATGGGGCAGGGTGATGGAAAGAGGGAGAATGGGGCGGGGTGATGGAAAGAGGGAGAATGGGGCGGGGTGATGGAAAGAGGGAGAATGGGGCGGGGCGATGGAGAGCGGGAGAATGGGACGGGGTGATCGAAAGCGGGAGAATGGGGCGGGTGATGGAAAGCGGGAGAATGGGGCGGGGTGATGGAAAGCGGGAGAATGGGGCGGGGTGATGGAAAGCGGGAGAATGGGGCGGGGTTATGGAAAGAGGGAGAATGGGGCGGGGTGATGGAAAGCGGGAGAATGGGGCGGGGTGATAGAAAGCGGGAGAATGGGGCGGGGTGACGGAAAGCGGGAGAATGGGGCGGGGTTATGGAAAGAGGGAGAATGGGGCGGGGTGGTGGAAAGAGGGAGAATGGGGCGGGGTGATGGAAAGCGGGAGAATGGGGCGGGGTGATGGAAAGCGGGAGAATGGGGCGGGGTTATGGAAAGAGGGAGAATGGGGCGGGGTGATTGAAAGAGGGAGAATGGGGCGGGGTGATGGAAAGAGGGAGAATGGAGCGGGGTGATGGAAAGCGGGAGATTGGGGCGGGGTGATGGAAAGCTGGAGAATCGGGCGGGGTGATGGAAAGAGGGAGAATGGGGTGGGGTGATGGAAAGAGGGAGAATAGGGCGGGGTGATGGAAAACAGGAGAATGGGGCGGGGTGATGGAAAGAGGGAGAATGGGGCAGGGTGATAGAAAGAGGGAGTATGGGGCGGGGTGATGGAAAGAGGGAGAATGGGGCGGGCTGATGGAAAGGGGGAGAATGGGGCGGGGTGATGGAAAGCGGGAGAATGGGGAAGGTGATGGAAAGCAGGAGAATGGGGCGGGGTGATGGAAAGAGGGAGAATGGGGCGGGGTGATGGAAAGCGGGAGGATGGGGCGGGGTGATGGAAAGCGGGAGAATGGGGCGGGGTGATGGAAAGCGG